CTCTCTCTCTCTCTCTCTCTCTCTCTCTCTCTCTCTCTCTCTCTCTCTCTCTCTCTCTCTCTGTCTTCGTCTCTCTTTCTTGCGGTCGGCGAGCGCGGCCTACCTGTGGCTCGTTCGCCCTCGTTTACCCTTTAATTTACCTCCTACCAATTACCACCCTCAGCCATCCGGGCGCCTCGCGTAAATCGTCCCGTACGTAGATCTGCTCTCTCTCTCTCTCTCTCTCTCTCGTGTTCGTTCAATCGTTTTTCACTCACCTAGACGGCATATTGAGTCATTCCATTGGCGTGACAAGTGGCCTGATCACACCGGCTGCGGTGCTCCTCGTCTCTGGTCGGGAGAAAAGAGAGAACGGCAACGGCCTCTACGACAAGAGCGATTAGAACGACGTTCTCCCGCGTTCCCCACGTCCAACACTCGCGCGTCGTAGTCGCGGCGACCGGCAAATTCGGCGCGCACGAGCCGCGCTCTCGCGATCAAGGCTCCCGACGCGACGCCCACGTTCCGCTCGACAGTGGCGCCAATTTCCAAGGTCGGGCTGCAAGGTCAGCTCTTGTCTTGCTCTTGCAAGAGGCAAGGTGCGATCGGAAACAGCGATCGAGCCGAATTCACGCGCGCGTGCTCGTATCGAGCGCGCGAGTCCCGCCGGCGCGGTCAGTCGCGCCTGCTTGCCGCCGCCGCCGCCGCCCCCGGCGCTCTCTTTCCCTACACGCTCTCGCCTCCGCGAAGATCCTCGTCGCACACGCCGCGATGCCCAATCTGCAGCACGGTCCACCACTCACTGACAAGGGTCCCTTCGTGACACTTGCTACTTCCTTCTTGATTTTTCTCCCTCCCCTGCGGCCGGCTTTGCTGCTCTCCTCTGCCGCCTCCTGCCTCCGTCGTTGTCGCCGCCGCCACCTCCACCACGGCGCCTCGTGGTGCTCGTTGCGGTGCTAGTCGTTGCTCGGAGCGCGTATCGGCCGACACTTGTGTCAGAAGCGGCGGAAGGCCGCGTTCTCTCGACTCGCGCGCGATATATCTCCTTCTCTTTTTCCCACCCGCTGTGATACACCCGTGACTGACCGCGCGGTTACCATAAGCAGTTCACTCGTTCAATCTCTCGTTGGCGCCTGTCGTCACGTGGCGTGGGGAAACTGCTGCTCCGGTAGGCGATGACGGCCGGCGTCACGTGACGGTGATGCACGATAATACCGGCGATTGACGGTGATGTCTGCTACTGCCGACTGGTCGGTGGTTCCTGTGCTCACTGGGTCTCACCCAGACACCGTGACAATCTCACTCCGGAGTCTTTCCTTCCTTCGTCGCGTTAATAGCCGCGCGTTAATCACGACAACGCACCGATGTTATTCGCGAAGGACGCTAATGTGTCGTCGGATGTCCGTTTCTCCTCCGTTTCCGCGAGTATACGAGTGTAACGCTACGTTACCTGGTGGTCTTTTTCTCTCTTTGAAGACGTTCCGTGGCGCGCTGGCCTCTCTTTCCTGCGCGTTTCTCCCCGGCGAAGGCCGCGGGAGGCTCCTCCGTCTCCTCGGGATCGCAAACGGTCGAATTGTTAATGTCCTTTACGTTACCTTCGTCATTTCCGCTCGTATCTTCTTCTTCTGCCGCTTCTGCCTGGAACTCGTCGGGATCAAGTTGCTCGCGCGCGTGGAAGGAGCGGAGGTCGCGCGCGAAGCCGGGTTCGTCGGCGCGAGAGGAGCGCGAGGGCACCGGTGCGAACGATCGCTCCGACACGATGGTACAGCGGGCCGGTGGCGGCCGATTCAAATTCGCTCCCCACGTGGCGGTGACGGCGTCGTCCCCGAGACTGCCGCCGGTAGGACGCCCGGCGCCGGTCAGTGCGTCGCCATCTCACGGCCCGCCGTCTAACCGGCTTTACCGCCCGCGAGTCCTCCTCGTCGGAAGCATCGTCGCCGTCGCCGCGGTCCTAAGCGCCGAAATCCGACGAGCTGGCCCGCTGTTGAGAGTGGATCGACAGGCAGACAAGCCTCTCGCATCTGTTTCGCGCATTCTAAATGCAGCCAACCGCGATCGATGATCGACTTGTTCGCTGACGCGTCAAAATTTAAAGGCCGAGCAATTCGCGCGGAGAGGAGCATCGATAAATGTATAAATAGCGGCGAGAACGGATCTTGCAGATCGGGAACATTGAGAATATTCGCAATCGCCGGGACGGTCATTCGAGACAATATTTGAAGACGCGTCCGAGTGAGGTGCAAATCAATACTTGTAGTTGTGTGTTCTTTGATGACTTCAGAGCCGAGTTGCAGCCGAGTATTTGCTCGGTGGAAAATTCAAGTAGGGACAAGATTACGAGGGACTATCGCGGATGAAAAGATCTCCCCGGCGAGGGAGCCTCCGGGAGTGTGCAAATACACGGGGATATCTTGCCTTAGAGATGTAAAACCAACAAGTTTGCTCGAAAAAGGAAGAAAAAGGGAAAATTAACTGCAGGATTCTAATTACCGCAACATTTAGCATTGAGAACGTTACGACTGCACCGAACGATGATCCTCGCGTTTTCCTTATCTCCGCGAATACGTTGGGGAATATAGTTGATAGTTTAATGTGCAACAGAATAAAATATCGTAATAATCCTTTTTTTTTTTTGTAACTGAACTGCACTAAAATTAGATTAATACAAGCAAGGACAGACAAGTATAACAATACAAGCAAGCTACGAAGAATGCTGTAGTGCAGAGTAGTGCAAGGGTTTTGCAAAAGCAAAATGCAATACGATTTATTGTTAGATGAACTGTCAGATTCATTTTTATTCTGAATATGTGGCCACTTATAAGGATGCAATCCATATGCCAAATTCGCTGTAGCTTGTTTAATATTTGTAGGCAATGTTTTGTTTTGATGTTTTTGCACCGCACTGCTTGTATTGTTTGCGCTGTACTGGCTGGACTTACTTCAGACCCAGTGCAATCAGTTCAGTGAACTGTTGTACTTAGTTCCGCTGTACTGTACAGAGAACAGCGACGCTCACACCAGCTCTGCTGCAAAGAACGTTTTAGTGTATACTTCTTGAACTAGTTCAGCTGCAAAGAACACACCCAATAATCGACGCGACTATAGTACGACGCTAGATGTCCGACTACCGTTAATCAAATTACGCGCACTTTGGCGATGAGTGAGGCACGTATGTCAACGTTAGCTATAGCAGAGCCCGCATCAATCTGCAGGATGTACGATCTGATTCGCCGCGATGTCAAGGATTTATCATCCGAATTGCGCTCGCGCGGCCCGTAATACGATCTAAGATCCGGGTCATGCTCGTAAAGCAAATCTTAATGTGGATCACCCCCGAAGATGTATATACCGCTCTCCAGATCGGTATTATGAAGTGCGCATCAATCAAGATCGAGATTACTCTACAGGCTACGATTTACGACGAGCCAATACTAATTATAATTATAATTTGATTAATTATAATTGGTAAATAGTTGTTAGTCATACTCGAGAGCGTTTTAAAATGTGTAGAATCGTGTGCAGTTGCTCGCAAATCGGTTTGTACACTTTTTATTGAATGATTGAGTTGTAACTTCAAGTTGTCGCGGAATTGAAAGCTGCTCCTGGCGTGTTCGGTTATGACAGGAGCAGAAGTGACAACACAAAGTGTGACATTTGAGAAATTTGGAAGAAAGAATTTCTTCTAGATTAAGAGAATGCTATTTTGAGAAGTGACTTTTGTATACACAAAAAATGTCTGAGCGTTCCATACTTCGTGTACATGTAGATTAAATCAAACTGATTCCTCTATTATTTCGCAAACCGTGTAAAACTTTGAATTATTAATTAGAAGAAATTGGGGAATGATCCCGTACGAAAGGAGAAAAGTGATAAAAGTGATAAAAAGTAATTAAAAATGTGATAATTAAAACACATAATTGCAGATGTCGCTATCACATCTCATTTGTTGTATCGCACGTCATTATTCACCAATTTTTCATTCGATAAGAAATATACGAACCAATCTGCAACTGATTATACACTCGCAACGAGGAATTCGTGTAAGATCAATTTATGGACGAGGCGAGGTCGCGAGAGCGCTTTTAAAGTCTGTTTCGAGGAAAAGTGCGATCAAGTATAATCGATTGTATTTTATACGGTCTTTATGGCACGGACGCGCCTTCCCTCACAACTGACCCTCCGCCATTCATACGCCTGTCCATTCATTCTTATACCAGGACAATGAACCGCGACATTTACGTCGCTGCAACACGGTTCACGACCTCGTTCGCCCATGCGTCTCTGATGTAACGAGAGACGCTATTTCAGGATAATCTACAGCGCATTTCACAATCGCGCGTCGCCGTGTGAAAACACCCACGAGAATTCTCTGGTCAAGTACACTTGCATATTTTTCACTCGATTCGAACACCTATGAGTTTTCCTTTCCTCTTCCTCTTTCTTTAAGGAAAAAATTTCTTATTAACTTTTCATGACTCACGTATCGGTCTTCCAAACCAACGGTATTTCTCCGGCCGATGCTTTTTCGAAACCATAAACTTTATCGTGCGCCAGCACTTTAATTAAAAGTCAAAATTAATGCCAAAAACAAACTTGTTATGTATTCCATTTCCATTAATAAATTAAAAATCGTTCTCATAGACCAAACACGAGTTTTTGCGCGTTAGAAAATCAGGGAAATAAATTAGGCAAAACATGAGAACGTGTTATTAAAAGATCAATTCGTTAAAAATTAAATAGTGCAAATATACTACAGTGTACAATAGTGCTGTCTCTAAGAATATATTGTCCGTACAACCCCTGCAAGAAGTAACTAAAAATTAGAGATACGTTAATATTCCTATTTTCTCCGTACAATCATACTTTTATAGTTTATTTACTTTATATTATTTCTGACTATTAAACTTTTATTTCTGAATCACGGTAAAACTTTGTATACATCATTTCAAATATTTAAAGTACATGTACGCAAAAATTTAAGCTTTTGTCGTTATTTTTAATTGTTTTTTTCCTTTATTAAAGATAGCAACGTCATATATTTTCATAACAGTGTTTTCATAACGGTTTAAGATACCTCCAAGTATTATTAACATTAGAGACGTCGTTATGCGTCACTTGGCATCATCATGTTTGCTAGGCTTCGCTTCAAAGTGGAATAACTTTTGATCTAGACTTAACTTGTTTGCGATCACTTTTAAATGCAATATATATTAATCTCTAGTTTTTTTCAAAGTTTTTTGATTATTCTTGAGATGTAGGCAACGCACTCGTAAGACAAAATCGATTTCAAACGGCTTTAAATAAGCCCACGAGAAGGGAGTGATTTTAAGGCATCCTATATTGTAATATTCAACTTAGAGGATGTACGATAAATATGTATCTTCCTTTCTTTGTGAGGAAGGGCTCTCAGCGCTCTTGAGTTCGAGAGAACTTCGTGCGCTTCACTTGCAACTATTACCATCGAGAAAGAGCTGTTCCCGTTTGCAATTCGAATTATTATGATAATTATCAGGGGAAAATGATGAAAATGACCAGGCGAACGCCGGGCGAAGCCAACACGGATGCATTAACGCACGGTGATACTCGGGGTTTTTCTGCGCTCGATAGAAAGATGCTTTCTGTATCTATAATACGCCGTTCCTCCCGACGCGTCGCGCCGGTTAATGAGATAACGAAATGATTAGAAGTAAATCATCGGCCAGTTAATCGGAACGAGCGAAACCAGTTTTCCTGCGGAGGATATCTATTTCCGGCATGCGCACTTCGAGACCGACGCCGACGCGCGTTTTCCTTTTTCTTATCCTTCCGATATTTCGTTAAAAACGATCGACGATCGCAACTATCGCGTTATCGACGAAATTATTATTAAACACACAGGTAGAAAAGATATAAGCTAGAAATTATACCATAGATGTATAGAGGAGAATTTGAATTTTTACTTTGAGGGAATTTTATATACCGAGGAAAAAATATATCTAAGAAATAAAAATATATTTATATATTCAGAATGTGGGTATTAATATATTTATATATTAATTTATATATTTTCTTACAATAATATGCAAAATATTTTTCAAATAAAAAAATATATTTTCTTAAAACCTTAACTTTCTACAAAGATAATTGTTTATTCTATTTAAATAAAGGAATTTAGATTTAAGTAAATGTGCTATTATAGTATCTGAATATTATATATATATATATATATATATATATATATATATATATATATATATATATTTATTTATTTATCTTAAGAGGAACCGTAGATACAAAATCGCAAAACGGTTCTTTTAGAACATCGATATATTTTCCTAAATTTCATTAAAATCCGGATAATATTACAGTAGAAAAAATAGAAAAAAATTGATTTAGTAATAACAAAGTAATTTTTTGAGCCTCTCGAAATTAATATTCTCCATCGTGAGTAAATATAGTCAAGTGACGTGTTACTAACAAGAATAATATTTCTTGCGAATGTATGAGAGGATCGTAATGGTCATTATCACATAGAAGAAGGCTGCCGCAATCATGTTTGTACAGTCAATCACAACAATTAGTTATTAGTCTGAGAAATTGTAACTTCGAAATTCTGAAATATGAGATATCTAGCTCCGGTCTGTCCTGAATTTCTCAAGGAATATGAAAATTTTTTAATAGCGCATTTCTTTGCCTAAATTATAAATAGCATATGAAATAAAAGGATAGTCAATTACTGCAGAATTTATTATGGAATTGTATAGTAATTTTTACTATACTGAGAGAAAAAAATATCTAAAATACAATAAATATTTACACACACTCATATATATATATATATATATATATATATATATATA